GAAGATCATTAATATATATTAGGAAGAGTAATGGGCCGAGTACTGTCCCCTGGGGGACACCAGAAGAAACAGAGCACAGGGAGGATTTGGTGTGGTTAGCATAAACAAACTGACGACGTTGAAGAAGGAATGATTCGATCCATTTTAGTATGTTAGGGTCAATTTTTAGCATAGAAAGTTTCAGCAGAAGGAGGATATGTGGCACTTTGTCAAAGGCTTTGGCGAAATCCAGAAATACAGCGCTAGTGGGGTAGCCGGAGTCAAGGTTTAGGTGAAGGTCATTAGTAAGAAATAGGAGCTGCGTTTCACAAGAAAAGTTGCGGCGGAAACCGTGCTGCGCGTTGCTAAAAAAGGAGTTGTTTTCGAGGAAATCAAACAGATGCGTGAAAATGATATGCTCCATGATCTTAGATGGGATGCAAGTAAGAGATATAGGCCTGTAGTTGAGGGGAGAAGACTTACTGCCGCTTTTGTGGACCGGAATGACCTTGCCGATTTTCCAGTCCCCAGGCACCACCCCCGACTCCAAAGACTGGTGAAATATCTTGGTTAGAAATAAACTACAAGACAGGCTAGTGTTACGTAATATTTTAGTGTTTATATTGTCAACCCCAGAGGACGACGAGACCTTTAATGAGTTAATAATTTGAGATACACCATTAAATTCTACAAAAACAGGGTCCATTGGAAAATAATCAGCAGGAACGTGACCAGGTAAAAAGTCGGTAGAGATAGGTGTAAACACATTGCAAAAGACATCATTAAACATAGCTGCACACTGATCATCTGGCACAACTTCACCCGAGCCGTTAAAAATCTTTGGTAAAGTGTGGTCTTTTGAGTTAACAATACTCCAGAAACGACGAGGGTTGTTAAGTAATATTGAAGGGAGCGTCTGCTGAGAGTACACGCTTTTGCACTCTTGCAGTTTCATTTTGTAGTTATGTTCACAATTTTTATATTTGGACCATGACTCAGGAGTATCATCACGCTTAGCAGCACGGAAAAGCCTTTTCTTTTTGTTACAGAGAGACCTAAGCTGTCGATTGAACCATGGTTTCGCCGAGGAAGGCCTGAGGTATTTGAATGGGATATGAATGTTAACAAGTTCATCTAACTTGTTTTTAAATAAGTTCCAATTCTCGTTAAAATCTCGAGAATCAAAATTATTTAAGAAAAAAGAGAAATAGTCACACAACGCTCGGTTTATTTCTTCGTAATTCCCTTTGTCGTATAGCAATATTTTCTTTCCTGAACGAACAATTTTTGCAGTTTCAACTTTTATGTGAGAATGAATTGATTTGTGGTCACTGATGCCGTCCAAGAATACCAAAGGCGTTGGAAATAATTCAGGGTGAGAAGTAAGAACAAGATCTAAAATGTTTGAACAGGAATGAGAGACTCGCGTAGGAAGGGAAACTATCTGAGAAAGATTGAAATCTAAAACGACGTCAATAAATTGTTGACAAACCACTGGAGTTTTTAGAGCAGACAGGAGTTGGGTCGTTCCAATTAATGCACGGAAAGTTAAAATCGCCAAATAAAAGTATGGGATAGGTTGGATATTCTTTTGAAAGTAATGACAATTCATCGTGAAGAAGGCTTGAGAACGAGTGTGACGCGTCAGGAGGATGGTAACAAACACCAACCAAGACAGACCTAAAACTGCATTGTAAGCAGACCCAAACTATTTCAAGCTGTGAATGATTAGAAACAACTCTGCTAGGTATCTTTTTATCTACGGCTATAAGAACGCCACCACCGCGTCGTTGCTGTCGATCGAGACGATAGATAATGAAATTAGGGTGATCAGGCAGTACTTCACTATCAGTGACTTGAGGAGTTAACCACGTCTCGGTCAGCAAGATTATTTTGGCGCTGCAAGACGAGATAATGGTACTTAGCTCATCACATTTAGATAGAACGCTTCGAGCATTGGCATATAAAAAACTGATGCCCTCATACGAGCCTAATCTGCTGTTTCGAACACTCCCCGCCTTGCGCTATCGCTGAAGTTCAGTTACTAACTTAGAATGGTGGTCGTAGGTATATGTCTTTGGACCGATCAAAAGTTTATCGAAGCGTAGTTTGAATGGGGAAGTTTGTTGTTTGGCATATACGAGCAACGCCTTCCTTGCGGTGCGAACAGTTGGTGAATAATCCTCAGATAATGAAAAGGGTGTACCTTTTAGTTTCGAGGCGGAAAAAAGTAGCTGGTTTTTCATTTTGAAAGACAAGAATTTCACAATGATGGGCCTTGTTTTCCCTTGACGGAAAGCACCAAGGCGGTGCGCACGCTCAACATGCGAGCTATCAACCGCGACTCCCAAGTTGCCCTTCGCAAGGTCGAGTGCTTTCTGTTCAGAAATTTGTTGAGACTCGCTAGGAGCATCAGGGATACCGTAAAACAACAAGTTTGAACGACGCGAACGGTTCTCTAAGTCGTCTATGCGAGCAAGCAAGGTTGATGTTGCAGCACTCTGCTCAGACGTCACAACCTGTAGCTCATTAATGTCATGCTTAACTTCAGCAATGATAGATACATCCTTTTCAATTGAAGTAACCCGATTAGAAAGAGAAGACAGAGCGGTATCAAGGCTTTGTTGTTTCTCTAAGATATGTTTTATGTCGACCTTGATGTTTTTCTGTCCAGCTTCAAGTATAGTTGATTTGGATTCACTGGTTTGTAGCATAACAAACATGTCATTTAACTGCCTTTGTTTAGAGGCAGACAGGGGTCCCGGATTGGTTTCCACATCACCACACTGCAGTAGCAGTGCCTTAAGCATACAAAAACAATCAGTGACAGATACAATAAGCACTCCGGGGCATGGGAGCAGAAGAAGGTACACGTTACTAGTTCGCTTAGTATGTAGGGAGAAACGTTTACAGACCTGTACAAAAACGAGCATGTCCTGGTTAAGCGTCAGCATTACGCTTGCGCTCCCATGCCCACTGGCGCGGCGACGCTCTGGCACCTCCTTTTGTAGGCCCATCGAAGGGTATTGTGGGAGTGACGACAGGGGTGGTGGCGCTGTATCCGCAAAGAAGGCGCTCCATGAAACAGCTGACGGGCCCTCCAATCCAGAAGACGATAAGGGTGATCCCGGACTGTCGATGACGTTGTTGGTCGGGGCAGCGATGACGGTTCCAGGAATGAGTCCGACAAAGACGAAAAACGGGAGCTGTACGAAAACGAGCATGTCCTGGTTAAGCCTCAGCATTACGCTTTCGCTCCCATGCCCACTATAACAAACAAGACACTGCACGCATTTTTTTACATACAAGAGCAAGATGAGAGTTCCAGGTTAGGTCACTGTCAGAGAATAAGTCAAGATATTTGTAGAAGATGTATGCACTATATTCTCACATCCACATGATAAACTCCCAGACGTATGCAACCATAAAAAAGAGGTCATATTAACTTGATTCGAAGTGTTACGAAAACATACAGGTTGCGTGTTGGGTGGATTAACTTTATTTAATTAGCCTCAGACCAGTCCATAGCTTTAATTTCTGCAGTTTGTAAAGACGAAAAAGCGTCTGGATAATAGGACGCTCTTGATAAAATAACGGTATCGTCACCATATTGAAATAGTGAAATTGGTACCACGATGGACAGGGCGTTGACATACAGATTATATAATAGTGGACTTAGGACCGAGCCCTAGAGAACACCAGCTTTGACTGAAAAGATTTTGCTTCGATACCCCACAAATGAAACACATGGACGACGATCCTGTAGGAAGCTTTTAGTGGCAATCTAAAAAAAAGCCTTGAAAGCCTAACTTCAAAAACTTTAACAAAATGTGATGGCAGATGCTATCAAATACCTTGTGGACACCAAGGAACAGCGAGCAGGGAACTTGATTCCGTTCAAAAGATAAATTGAGCGCGCAAAAAAGGTCCCCAAGGAGCAATTGGGTACCTCGGTCTTGTGTGAATCCGCACCAATAAAGATATAGTAAACTGTGTTTAACTAAAAACATATCCATAGTTATCCACAAATATTAGTCGAGATTTTAGCAAAACAAGAATAAAAATAGGTCGATAATTTTCTAGGGTACTTTATTTTGAGCGGCTCCCTCAAATAATGAAATCACCAAAGCTGTTTGTATTGCTAATGGAATGACACGATCAGATATAACGTGATTAAACATTTTTAAAGCAAAGCAGCCCAAATCAGATCAAAGTTTCGGTTCAAGTCATTAACTGAAATACCATCGATACCTGGAAATTTGTTGGGTTTAAGGCTAAACAGGATTTACCTAAACTCTTCTTCAGAGAGAAGAGGAAGTTAAGCCGAGTCTAAAACAGTATTGTTTACAGTACATGAATCTGGGGGCTGTCTTGCAATACCTCATACTCGAGAGAACAAATTGTTAATATCATTAGCAGTACTCTGTTCCTCTGTAGAGAACATGAGGCCAAAGATTCGATACATGCTGCGCCACCTAGAGGCAACACAGAACGGATAAAACTACCGGATGGAACTGATAAAACTGCGGGGTGTAAAGGGGCTGCTCCGATGTGTACACCCTCGTAGCCCCTCTCCCCTCTCTGCCGTTTTATCCTTTCCTAGCTGCCTCGAGGATGCGCTGCATGTACCGAAAGCCACACGCTCCGTTGCTCGCATTTTAGTATATCATGATAGCACCCTTAGGCTGAACGTGTAAGTGGGTTTTAAGAACGCTTACCGCTCTACTCGTTTTCCCCTAAAAAAAATGAAGTTTTGCGGATGGTTCATCTTCCGTTCGAAGCCTCCCTTACACGATTTTGTTGCAGGAGAGAGAAAATATTAGTTTGTTTCTTGAAACACGCACGTCTTGGTAAGACCACATATATATATATATAATGTACCTACACAACTCTACATAAAAAAGGAAGACAGTCATGCTACTTCAGGAGCCTGACCTTTTTTCATGAGGGTTCTTGAGTTTAAAACAAGTATAGCCAAAATATGACTCTAGACTAATTGTTTCTCTTTCCTTTTTTCGCAGTGCGATCCTGCCGTTGGCATGAAGGCCTTCTTCGACATGATCGACAAGCAACCCAAGAAACTGGTCCTGTTCGGCGCAGCCTGCAACGCCGTCACGGACCCCATCGCCAAAGCGTCTCAGTTCTTTCAACTCGTACAGGTGAGAACCAGGCAGATGCTCTTGCTCCGCGTGGTGTTGGCGCTACTGGAAAAAAAATAATAGGAAGACAAGGACGCTGCGTCAAGCTCCCCGGAAAGCTCCGTACTGGTTGGTGTATAGCAAACCGGATTGCGAGTCGCAGGGCCCGAAAACTTGAAAGTCTTTCCTCGCTGCGCTACCCGTTGCCGGAGGAACCTTTTGGGTTTCTGTTCGGGCTGTTCGCAGAGCTTACCGAGGTATAGCCGCACAAGAAAAATGAGCGCCTGTTTTAAATGAGGTAACATTTATTTTTTATTTTTCAATGTCTGGTGTTTCATAACTCAATGTACCAACCGAGGCAGGCCGCCTTGATTAAAATTTTGTTTTGTCTTCTTTTACTTTCTTCTTCAGTCGTATTCATCCGTCTATTTCTATGGAGCTAACAAAGCGTGTTTCATGTGTCGGCCACATGAGTTTGTTGTCTGCTCGTCTTATGGAAGCTGCACAAGTTTATGCTTCCATGAACAATCGCCCGCCTTTTTATAATTTCTGAAACGAATAAGACTTTTCGCAGGTGCGCATACGTCGTCGCACCCTGATTTCAATGAATGATTTGCGCTGCGACATTCTTCTTACTTATTTGCTGAGTTTTGCTGAAAAATAGTTCATTTCCAAAGACTAAAAGATAATTATAATGCCTTTTAAGCGCAATTAGACTTCGAAACATGAGGTCTTATATGTGCTACGATTCGCCAGCCAAACAACTCTTAAATACTAGAAAGAATAAAACATGGAGGATGGACAAAACTATCACCAACGCGCTCAACAAAAGTACAAAACACTGTGGCGCCCCAAAAAGGACTATTGTAGAAGCAGCTACTTCGTTCTATGATAATTCTTAGGGGTAATAAAAAATGGGAGTAATATCAATAAAACGGAGTCCATAATTAATATTCATATTTACGAAGGATTCTACTCTAAGCCTTAGGAAATTTCTTTTTTTATGAAGCGTCGCGCAAATCACAAGTGCTCATATTCAACAGAAATTGTCATCCTCCTTCCTTTTGTTTTTCACCTTAACTGTTCAGCGTTTTTATAGTGGCAGGCTTTTCTGATTCTGCATTAGAATTGTGATTTCCTTGTTGCTTTTATTTTGTTTTGTATTTTATTATCATGTATGTACCTAGGAGTTACTATAATGTACGCTAGAGGTTCAACTCTCGCTCGTGTGCTGCTGCAAACTTAAGCAGACAGCAACCAGTCCGAAATTAACTTACGGTAATACATTTTTATTGGGAAAACCAAGTTCATTTTTCCTGCGCTTGATTATAAAGGCAAATATCAGTAATACTTTGTGCGTACTAGATAGATTAAAATATTTCTCAGTCACGTAGACGAAATAATTGGTCAGTTATGGTATTTTTATTTCAAATTCATGGCATTAAACACTGTGCAAAAACGACTTCGTACATGTATTTATGTGCACTGTCGGACACTGTTACCGCGAGCATGGCTGCGGCGGCGCTTTCCAACATGGGTGATATACGTGGCGAACGAACGAAGGACATGCGGAAAAGCAAGAGATACCGCAAGAACTACATCGCAACACTGAATCAGTAACTCCTTCTGCATGCAGAGGATCAAAATAAATGGAAGGTCACGTTATATAGTCTGATTTGGAATAAATAAGAAATTCTTTATTCTCTCTGCTTATGAATGTGCGCGAAAAGGCTTGTTCTGAATTCAAAGCATCACCCTCACTCATGAAGTCTTTAAAAATTGGGAGATGCCAGAGAACAGGTGACCCATGACAGCTGCCCGACATAGGAAATAACAAAAAAAAAAAAAAGCACACCATTCATAGCCCACGTACTTTATCAGATACGTTTCAAACGCTTTTAACCACTCGTAAAGCTGCACGACGAGGCCATCTTTTATAGTGACCGTATGGGCATATAGCAATAAATAAGCACCACCGGAATGCTGGCGAACCTCGAACACACTATACATTCCTTTCAATTGTTGTTTTCCATAGAATTGTCGCTCGTTTTGACATACTTGCTATGAAACGGAGGTTTGGGCCTGAAATATGACTCTACATGGCAAACGACCATTTTAGTAAACGCGAAAAAAAGATATTTGTTTTCTCAAAGTCTACGAAATCCCCTGTCTGTTCCAGTCCAGTCCCGCTATTTGGGGTTGGCGGTAAAAGGTTCCGCCACAACACAGTGAAACGGCCCCCTCCACTAGTGTTTGAAAAGGGTTCTTTGCAAACGGTTTAGGGTCAACACCTGGTAGCATTCCCACCTTCGTTCCTTCGAGTTTCCTTTTCCCGGCGTCTCTTCCGCCCGCTTCATTGTACGCCCCATTGAATGCGCAGTACACAACGCTGACAGAACTGCTCGCGCGAGGAAATGGTGTGATCTAGAGCCTTATTTGGGAGTGCGTTTATGCAAATGAGGTGCTAGACAAAGCCACTTGCTTTGAGCAGCAGGTTTTATAGCGTAGCGCACCATCACTTACATTTACAAAGCATCACAATGGCATGTTGAACTTTTAACTGCGTATATTCCGTCTCACTTTAGTTCATACCGCATTCGACGCTGCAATACGATGAAGCCAATGAAGCATTGCCGAAGTTACATGGTCACGGCGCAAATATCGTTTTCCCTTTTTTTTTTTTTTGCATTTGCTATCACAGGTTGAACGATTCGAGCACCACTGCACTCACGCCCCTTTTATGTGCGTAATTAGTTAATCCCACCATAGCAAACCATTACAACCACGAGCACGCGCCTTTTATGTGCGTAATTAGTTGAGCCCTTGATAGCAAACCATTAAAACCCCGAGCGCCGCGATGACGTACTTTCCGTAATGATTGCTTGAATTCATCCGACCATAGCGCTTGCTCTGGTCGAACCTTGAAACAGAGTATGGAGACTTTTAAATCTAATAGCATTTCCTTAGGCATTATATAAATGAGAAGGTCACAGTTTAATGTGGTCATGTTCGAAGTCGTCTAATCTAGACTCTAACATACAGACTAATGCCATATCTTTAAAATTTACGAAGGCCTTTATCAAAGCACCTCACAAGCGCTTGCTCCTGAAACTCGCGCTGACATCTTTAATTGCATTAGAGAACTTTTAAATAATCGCTCCCAATCTGTGCTTATTAACATCCATACCGCAAATTCAATACCAGTAACATCTGGTTTCTCGCAAGAGTCTGTCATTAGTGCCCTTTCGCTTTTAATATACATTAATGACATAACGCAGCCCGTGTCTTGCATATTCGCATCTTCCCGATGATTGTGTTGTTTATAGACGCTTTACACACGCGCCAAATTACAGCCACCATTGCTGACCTCCTCTTGTCTTACCGAGATGCCGAGCAACTGAAACGGTAGTTGACGATCCTCTACAAAGGCCGATGCTTTAGAAAAGGACACAGTTGAATCTAATATGGCAATAACCTGGCCTGCTACGGTAATGATGAAGTGAAATAAACGGAATAAGAGGAAACAAAAACTGAAGGTCAGTTATGGCGGCTTCCATGCACAGCTGCTGCAAAGCGTCTATACCGCTCAGGCACTAACACCTCTGACCATACTGCGCTCCAGAATTATCTAACTTTGATTTGCTTTGGCTGCTCACGGGGCGTTTGAGATTCTGCAGCAATGAGGAACTGCGCATACTCAGTGCGCGTTGCAAAGCCCAACAGATAAACATTGCAGCTTTACCAGACTTGGTTTCACCTTACGCCCAAACGCAGCCAATGCTACAAGCTGATGAAACCAATCAAGTAGTATTAAAAGAGCCAAATCGTGGTGTGTGTCATGTTTTTGTACATGTTCGGTCGCTACTGAATCATCCATAAACAGAAAAGGCCTAGTGAAAAGCGCGTTTGACGCTTCTTTACTCGGCTCATTACCTCGAAGCGTCGGCTGCGTCTTGGCTTAAGCTGAAACGAAGTATAGGAGTGTACAGTCTAATCCGCTCGTTCGCATTAAACATAAAGAGCTGAAAATGAAAAGAGCGTTCAACTCAACACATGGGGAGCGCTTGCGATTTAATGGCGGACGCCTCCTGCGTCGATAGGCCACCACTGCGCTTGCGCTGGTTCGACCAATGTCAAAGAGAAAGCCGGTCCAGAAGTCTCAGATAATTGCAGATGATCAACACCCTCGTCGCATCCTCGAAGCTCCTGTTTCAAGCGCAGCCCATAAGCCACGTGACCCAAATTTAGCAGTTGTAAACTCTCCGTTATATGTGCTCTCACTCGGACAACGCGCCTAAGGCACCAAATCCTCCCCTTTCGACGTGAAAGGACCGTGTCCGAGAGAACGCACGCGCATCGTGCTGTGCTGAGAGGGCGGGTTGCCACCGCCGATCCACCGAGATACTCGACTCGCCGAAAGAGCAGAAACGGCTGTGATCGCCGTCTCCAAGCCTGTCCAAGACACTAGAAGTATGGTGCCTGGATCGCGTCTTCGACTGGTGTCTTTAGCGTACTATCCCGCCCATACATCAAAAGTGGTCCCCAAGTGGCAACAAATGACGCCACAGAAGCCGGAGTGTCATGCTCTTGCCTGTCGCGATCATGGCGGTTGGCCGTAGACATGTTGGCGAAAAGCGCGAGCGAACGCGGGTGTCGCTGTCGTCACGGCGTCCCAGGCGTCCCAACTTCCGGCTGCTGTAGCTTCCGTGGACTGTCACAGTGGAGAGCGACTTGCAGCAGAACAGGCGTCTGCTATTTGTACCACAACTGTTGGGACGCCGCCAGGGTCGCGACCGGCGACAGCATGGCACTTCTATGACGTCATCAGGCGGAAATCGAGGGACCACTTTTTGGGCCGCGGTAAACACACCAGTCGGAGACGCGTTCCAGACACCATACTAGAAGGCAGCAGTCACCCTTCCCAATGCAAAGGGAGAAAACCCCGGGGCTCCGCGCCTCTAACCGTTGTAACTATACGTACACCATGTAGGCTCCAAAGCCACTGGATTTTCCCGGAGCAA